GTGGTGGTGGGTTTGTGTTCATGTGGACACACATGTGAAGGCTAGAGAGAAATCTTATCTTGGGTGTCCTTCTTCAGAAACCATAACATTTTTTTTTTTTTGAGATAGAGTCTCTGACATGAAGCTTGTTGGCAAGAGAGCATCAGGGAACTGACTGTCCCTGCCTACTCAGAGCTGGGATTCTACATTCACACCAATCTTGGCTCCCCAGCCCAGTCACTAATTCTTTAAGACTGGCCACAGTATTATTAACTATGGACAACACATCCACTAAAAGGAGTAATTATTGGTTTGTCAATGACAAAGGCTTACTGAAGACGTAGGAAGGCTCAGACAATACACTTCATGAATTACTGTCCTATCAGCAGGACATGCCTCTCATGGTGATGAACAAATCATACTACAATTTCCTAACCTGAAACAGTATTTATTTAGTCAATTCCCTTTCCTCTAATCCCTTGTTCAACAGATCATCATCAGGACCAGGATTTCAACAGAAAAAAAACTAATATGCTAGTCTTGCAAAGGTGAGTAGTTATTCCTCATAGGAAAGTAGTAAACCAACATGTTGGTTTTAAAACATCAGCCAAATGAACTTTACTCAAGTCTGAACTTTGTCAAAGTGTTGAGAATGAGACACTGTTGAACACTCAGGCCCAAATGAACATCTGTACCACCCCCATTTAAGGTTCAGGGATCATAAAGGAAGGGGCAGAATGGCCTAAGACTTGGAGGGAAGGGTAGGGTTTTGTAGAACCCTGGCTTGTGGGCATGACGTGGCCATTGCACTCACAGGCTCTATGATTACTTACACAAGACTGGGCCTGTCAACATTTTAAATGGAAGAGAAGGAGTTCACAAATCCCCATCCCTCTCTGAGAATTTACAGGTTGCTAGAGGGCTCACAAGGCTCCATTCCTCCCTGGTTATGGTTAACAGTTGCTAACGAAGAAGAGACATTTTCTTCAGAAACAATCCCTCACCCATGTAAGTAACCCCTCTTGAACTCACTGGGTCAATTCTCAGCATCAATAAACCAGATATGGTGGTACAAATCTATAATCCCAGCACTGAGATGGACAAAGGAAGATCAAAAGTTCAAGGTCATCCTAGGCTACATAGTCTGGTCAGGAATAAATGAAATTTTGTCTCAGACAGAGGAAGCAAGTTGTCAAGGCAGAAGTAAGAAAAGGTAACAAGCCACGAGGCTAAACATAAAAAAGAATTATGGGTTAATTCAAGTATAAGAGCTAGTCAGTAATAAGCCTGAGCTAATGGCCAAGCAGTTGTAATTAATATAAGTTTCTGAGTGATTATTTTATAAGCAAGCTGCGGGACTGCAGGGGCTTGGCTGAACTGGAGAAACTTTCCAACCACACAGAACCTGAGGAAAAAGAGTCACTATGGCGGGGACAAACAAATGAAGAAGTGGAAAAAAAGAAACTAGGAAATGTAGCAAGGAACAATAACATCCACAAGGACTTTAAGATGCACCCCAAATGATTTCTGAAAACTAACACAAAATGGGACCTTCTCTTATTACCCAAGCTCAAAAAGTCCTTCACCTGATTTAAAGAGCTGTTATAGGACAAGACAAGCTAGTTAAATAGAAACTTGAAATGAAGCACATTCCCCTTTTGGTATATGACAGCCATAAGGCAGAACTTTTTTAAAAATTCAAAAATGTGTGCAACCCTTAATTAGCAAATAAAAAAGTCCAAAGCAATTGCATAAAA